ATCCCGGACGATGGTCACCCTTCTCTGTTCGCGCACAGCATGTTTGTGGAGAACGTGGTGCTAAATGACCTGCAGACGACCTGATTATAGACGGTCGGTAGGTAGATAGGTCAGTCAAACTTTATTAACAAACCAGTGTTCTGACAACTTCACAGCTCAGCTTCACCATGTTGGTATTTAGCTATAAAGATGCTACGAGTCAGAGCCCAACATGCTGAAAATGTCTTTTTCTGAATGTGAAGGAAAAATATATGTATTTTCTATGACACTTTTGGATAATTTCTCTTTTATCCTTGGCTTTAGCCTATGAACCAAGACATCTCAGAAGTCATTGAGTTCTCCCAGTGTGACCAGCAGAAGCCCTGCCTGTGGCCAGTGTTCCCAGTATAATAAATAAATTTGTGTTTTATTGCACACTTTTATTCTTTCACTTTTTGTGTATTTTTAAATATCTCAATCTGAAGTATTAGTGTATTAAGACAGCTTATGTAATGAAATAAAAATAATTTACTCTGTTGGAATATTTTAACTCTGCCTTTGCTGTCCATAGCAGAGATGACTTATCATCCAGTAATATAATTTTTTTTTTTTTTTCAAAAAAAGTAAGAAAAAATATGTAGCTAATGTTCGGTCCATTTACCTGTATTAGCTTATTGGCAGATTAGCCGCATTCAATATGGCGGACATTGTGTCGTATCGCAGCAACGGGCTGACCCGCCCCATGAGGCGTCTACATAATCATATCTATGGTTGGCAGAACAGTGAGAATGCTGACGCTATTGCGCCCTCTACTGCGCATGCGGGACACTTTCAGATTGTAGAACACAAACAGTTTGCATATGTTTGGAAGTGTGAACAGCCCCGGCAAAAAACCCCGATTTGACAAAAAATTGGAATTGGGTCATTTCAGGCTGCAGTGTGAATGCAGCCATAGTTCCAGTTGTTTTAAACTGTTTATTTGTGGAGTACAGAGGTTTTGATGAGAAGCCACTGTAAAAATTACTCTCTGTGACTGTTAATATGATTAGCACCAGTACTTTCCTCTCCCGCTTTTGGATAGGCTTTGACAAACTTATTTATTGCCTCTTTCTGTGCCTGGTACATACACAGTATTTTTTCCTACCATTTTGCACTGCATTCTTTTTTGATAATTTAACAATACATAAGATGTATCCTGTGTTGCATCCCATGGTTTTACACTCTTCCTTGCTCGGTCATTTAAAGTGATCAGATACTGTATTTTCAGGCACAGTTCCTTTTTCATATATGGTAGGTTGGTTTGGGCTGCTTTTTACCCTCTAAATATAAAATTGTCATATAAAAAAAATATTGTGGCATGATGATTTAAAAAGAATTGTTAAAAAGGTTAATAAACATCTAAAGTGGGCTGCACAGTGGCGCAGTTGGTAGAGCTGTTGCCCTGCAGCAAGAAGGTTCTGGGTTCAATTCCCGCTGTTGCCTTGCAGCAAGAAGGTTCTGGGTTCAATTCCTACCCTTTCTGCATGGAGTTTGCATGTTCTCCCTGTGCATGCACAATCCAAAAACATGACTGTCAGGTTAATTGGCCTAGGTGTGTGTGTGTGTGTGTGTGTGTGTGTGTGCATGGTTGTTTGTCCTGTGTGTTGCCCTGCGACAGACTGGCGCCCTGTCCAGGGTGACCCCGCCTCTCGCCCGGAACGTTAGCTGGAGATAGGCTCCAGCACCCCTCCCGACCCCACTAAGGTACAAGGGTGTAAAGAAAATGGATGGATGAACATCTAAAGCTGTTTTCGCACTGAAAGGTACGGAACGGCGGCCAAGCGGTTCTGCTTAGAATCAGCAGCTGATTGGCCACTGGTTGTTATGGAGTCAGACGTTGATTTTCCGTTGACAGCTGGCTCTCACTAAACTGTATTTTTTCACTCTTTTCAATATTTTTATTATTAGTTTTAATTAGCAATGGATTCCTCTCAATATAGTGCAATCACCTGGTCTAATGATGAGGTACTGATCAACGAGTACAGAATGAACTAGATCGGTCAACGAGGAAAGAGAAAGTTATCCGCCGCATCTGTGAGGAAAAGGCTTCGGCCGCTACATCGAAACCATTGTTTAGTTTCAAAAATAATGACGTTAGGTACCGCTTCGATGGCTCCCTCAGCGTATATGCAAACACAACAGGGCTGCAGTACGGGTGGAACCGTTCCGTTCCGTTCCTTGCAGTGCGAAAACGGCTTAAGGGATGAATCTGTGACGGTTTTTCTCATGGACTTTACTGGCTGAGTTCTATAAACACAATTTGTTTGGAAAGCAGCGACATTTGCAAAACAAAATGTAATAAATGTTGTTTGCTGTGATGGTTACACTCAGACCTAAAGAATCAAAACAACCAATCTCCATGGAAACGAGAACCATAACAGGTTTGACAGATCTGTCAAAATGAAAGAAATGTAACGTTTAACTTCTGCACACAAATATAAAGTCTGTAATTGGTCTAATAACACAACTGAGTGACTTTTTGAAAAATAATACAGAGTTGAATGTTTACGTAGCTATAATCTTTTGAACAATGTTACCATAGAAACCATAAGAGCATCTGCCAAAAGTAAATATTTGGACAAAGATAAATCTGCGGAGGTCCCTCAAAGAGACTGTAAGTAAAGGTTTATTTATTTGTCACATATATATGTAATAACTCATACTGATGTTTAATAATTCGTTTGGCAAAATATGTAGAGCTATACCATAAATGTGCTAAGAAAATTAAGGAATATAATTAATTTTGGTAATTAGAACGAACCTAAAGCAGGAAATTAAAACTGTTTTAAAGTTGCATGGTGAGAAATAAGGTTGTGTCTTATATGGTGTATAAATATCTGGTTTCAACTATACCAGAAACTGTTGCCATTGCTGTGAAAACAATGTCATTTCACATTTATTTTACGTATTATTTTCCTGACCCTTTTCTCGTTGTTTGTGTATTTTGGTTAAGTGAGTCTCTGTGTGTTTTATCAGGTTCATCTGTTCCTCGTTCCTTGATTTTTCCCTTGATTTTTACAGACCTGTGCCTGTATTGCTTTTCTACTTGTGATTTAGTGTTTGCTTTTTGTGTTCCACTGAGCTGCTCTTGTGCCCTGTTGGTGGCTGTTATTTTCGAGTGTATTTTTGGGCTTTTGTCCATGTTAAAGAAGCACTCTCACCTCACTCTGGCCTCCACTGCTAAGTTTCCTCATCAAAAACCCGTACCCTTACGTCGATTATCAACGATGTGTGTTTGTTTTACGCAGGAAAGGAAATGGAGAAACTCCAACTGGAAGAGAAGTCTGGTGCTAGCAACACTGTGACATCACTGGAAGAGGTTAGTAATTAAAACATGTGGGAAATTGATGCATAAACTATAAATCTATCTTCTATAAACATATCTTTTAGTAATAAGTCTGCTCCGCCAGTGAAACACTCAGAGCAATAGAGACGCTTGCAATCTGGTTTAAAAAAAAAAAAAAAAAAAGCAATTTTTTTTATTATTATTATTTTCCTAAAAACATAAACAAGAAGGATTAACCTGGCGGTGGGGCTAGCAAAGCAGGGCGGGCCGCCAAACCTATTATACACTGGGGGAAACCCTGACTGTTGAATTACTCTGTTTTTTCCTCATTAACATTTGTTACACTGTGTTCTGCAGTTTCTTTTAGTGTCA